ATCTGCACTTTTTGATGCCCTTTGCTGAAAACAAAGATAAGTTAACTGGTCACATTTGCTGACTTCCTGTAGGCATTCAACGAGACTGAGATTGGATTCAAGTTGAGGAACGTAAAGAAATTGTGGCAACGATTCATGTATCGTGATTCTTTGTTGCTTGAAGCTTCGAGGCAGAAAACCAAATTGGGTCTCGTGGCAGATTGGGCGAACGAACTATCAAAATTGACCGAGGATGATGTCTTCACAACATTTCTACAGGTACTTAACTCCGTTTTTCATGTTGGAGCTTCTTTAATCAACTCAGTTTCCTTTCTTCAGCAAGAACGATGTTCAGGCAAGAAACGGTGGAAGGACCATGTCACCATACCATAACTGTGAACAGGAATTGGAAAGTTCAAAATATGCTTTTCTGTCCTACTGAACTCTTCATTTACTCGCCTTGATTAGGTTCTGCACTACAAGTTGCATAACGATCCTTGGAGGGAGCAGCTTGGTCATGTAAATAAAGATTTCGGGGTACCCCAAGAATGCTTGAGAGGGGGAAGCAAATGAAGAATATCCATTAAAAGAACTTACTTGGAGGAAGATCATTTCTATTTTTGAGACGCACAGAACTCAAACATTCACATACAAGATTAGCAGATCAGAGAACTGAAGCTTTGGTTTGAAAGGATTTTACGTAGGGGTGAGCTCTTTTTGTTTTACATAGAAAAACTAAGGTGGTATATAGGTTGAAAGAGGCAAGGTAAAAGTTCAAGTGTGAAATTTTGAAACCCATTTGTTACCATCTCCTATTAGAATCCTTCATCATGGGTAATACCCAAAAAAGAAGAAGATCAAAGATCAGAAGAGGAAGGAAGAGTTGCAGTGCTTATCAGTACAGAGGAGCTGGACATGAAGTTTGATAAGTTCATGAGAAAGGTGAAGGAAGAAGAAGCCAACAATAGCATCAGTATCTTTTTATTTTTTACCACAGTATGCTTTACCAGTCTGTTTTTTTTTTTAATTTCCTCTTTCTTTTTGTTTCAGTCGATTTATGTTAAAAAGATTATAAAAACCATAATCAAAGAAATGCCACGTCATTATCTCTATAGTCTTGTACTAATCATGCATGTTCTTGCTCACAATTCAAGAGACTAATGTAAATTGGTAGTTGCGAGAAAAATGATTTGATCTAGTGGTAATACCACTAATTTTAAACATAGAGATTTGTTTTTCAAATTGGTTAAGTAGTACCGAATTATAAAAAGCTATGTTTTCAGAACCGGAAAAGTTAGTGGTTTAAGGTCCAATAGTTAATCGTTACAAAACCGTTGGTGAATCGTTGATAGAACCGGTTGTCCCCATTACAGTCGTCAGTCAGCTTTCTTCCATCACCCGCTCGTCAATCCATCATTCCCCCGGCCCCACACTCTCCACTTCTAACGAACCAAACAAATATCAAACGTTCAAAACCCTCAACTGCGTACTACTTCTGCTCCGCCGCCGTCTACCAACCCGGCCGCGCACTGCTTTCTTTCCTTCAACTATCATCGCCGCCGCAGCCTCCTGTTTCTTCATTCGCCATGGATGTAGTCTCTTCGTCCTTCGCTCTCGACTCTAATCCGCTCGCTTCTCCCGCTTGGAACTCTTTCCGCCGCCGCCACCAGTGCCTCCCTCTGTCCTCTGCTGCTCCTCGCCGCAGGGCCGTCCTCTGCTCCGCCCTCAAGTCCTCCCCCTCGCTCAGCGTCGCCGATTCCGCTTCCAGCGAATCGGTCGCTCGAATCGGATCGCTGAGTCAAGTTGCCGGCGTGCTGGGGTGCCAGTGGGGAGACGAAGGTAAAGGCAAGCTCGTCGATATCTTGGCTCAGCATTTCGACGTCGTTGCTCGCTGCCAGGTATAAACAATGGTTTCATTTCCGGTTTCGGTTTTCCCTTTTTCGCATGGAAAATTTGAGATTAGTGAGGACTGTCTAGGGGTTGAAGCTGGCTCCAGCTCATTGCATTTTTCTGCTGGATTAGTTTTGATTTTGGGGATTCTGATTGACAATTCGGCTTAGACGCAGAACATTTTCAGACTGTCTTTTGGTGCAATCCAGAGATTGTAGTTACTAGTTACCCTCAGTAATGCCTTCTCTTTCATGTTCATTTCCAGGGTGGAGCTAATGCTGGGCATACGATCTATAATTCTGAGGGGAAGAAATTCGCCCTTCACCTGGTTCCCTCTGGCATTCTCAATGAGGATACACTTTGTGTTATCGGGAATGGAGTAGTGGTGCATTTGCCCGGTCTGTTTAAGGAAATTGATGGCCTGGAAGCAAACGGGGTGTCATGCAAGGGAAGAATATTGGTCTCTGACCGTGCTCACCTCTTATTCGATTTCCATCAAGAGGTTGATGGGCTGAGAGAGGCCGAACTTGCTAAGTCGTTCATTGGGACGACCAGGAGAGGGATTGGACCTTGCTACTCGAGCAAGGTCATCCGTAATGGCATCAGGGTAAGTGACCTGAGGCACATGGATACTTTCCCGCAGAAGCTTGATCTTTTATTGTCGGACGCTGCTTCGAGATTCCAAGGTTTTAACTATGGCCCCGAAATGCTCAGGGAAGAAGTGGAGAAGTATAAGAGGTTTGCTGAGAGATTGGAGCCTTACATTGCTGATACTGTGTATGTTATGAATGAGTTCATCAGCCAGAAGAAGAAGGTTTTGGTGGAAGGTGGTCAAGCTACCATGCTGGATATCGACTTTGGAACTTATCCTTTTGTAACGTCTTCCAGCCCATCAGCAGGTGGGATATGCTCTGGTCTTGGTATTGCTCCCAGGGTTCTTGGTGATCTTATCGGCGTGGTGAGTGGATAACGGTTGTGTTTGTTTTAGCTTTTACCAAAAAGAAAATAAGTAACTTTCTTTTCAAAATTTTGTAGAAGTGAGGAAAATGTCTGTTAGGTTGGGTTTTAGAAAACCTGAGTGGATGGGATATGCTTTCGTAATAATGCTCATCCACTGCCTTGCAACAATAATTGTAATTGCAGGTGAAAGCTTACACTACGAGGGTTGGTTCTGGTCCATTCCCTACAGAGATATTGGGTCAAGGAGGAGATCTCCTTAGGTTTGCTGGCCAAGAATTCGGAACAACAACTGGCCGTCCTCGTCGTTGTGGTTGGCTGGATATTGTCGCACTGAAGTATTGCTGTCAGATAAATGGCTTCTCTTCCTTGAACCTAACTAAATTGGATGTTTTGTCCGACCTTGCTGAAATTCAATTGGGGGTTTCTTATAAGCTACCTGATGGTACAGCAGTTAAGTCCTTTCCAGCAGATCTTCGCTTGCTTGAACAGCTCAAGGTTTTTTTTTTTTTTTTTCTTCTCCCCTACTTACCTTTGAAAATAAATAGGGTGCTTTTCTACTCATGCATCAATCTTAAGAACGACGAGTTGATTCTCTTTCATTCTTTTTGTCAGGTCGAATATGAGGTACTGCCAGGATGGCAGACCGATATTTCTTCTGCTAGAAGCTACTCAGATCTTCCAAAGGCTGCTCAGAGATACGTCGAAAGGATAGAAGAACTCGTCGGAGTCCCAATTCATTACATTGGCATTGGCCCAGGACGAGATGCTCTCATCTACAAATGAGTAAAGTACGTTCGAACTTTATTGCATTAGAGCCTTGTCAAATAATTGGGGCATTTTTTGGGCGGGTTAGGGTAATTGACAAACTTGATGTTGATGGTGGTAGAGTCTGTTCTGCCAATTGAAAGTTAATGTAAGCCGCTTATTCCGTATTTCCTTTCTTCCTGCGTAATTCTCAGTTTAGTTGTTAGAAGATCTGATTAAGTTATGGTGGACTAGCCAGCCTAGTGGTGCTGTAACCTTAAAGAGATCAATAATTTGCAGAGATGTTTCTGGGTTCAATTGTATCCTTCTTCCTTTCTCCCTGACGTTGGTAATTTAATTTCAGCTGAAACCTGAGTTTGATGGTCACTTAGCGCGTTGATATGTGTTGCTGAATGGAAGAAATTTCAAGGAATGCTGTTTTATTTATTTTAGCTTCAGTGATATCGATGGCATGCTATACGTGTCTGATTTGGATTTGGATTTGGATGAACAAATGTATGACAATGTACAATACAGTTGTTTATTTAGTTGAGAGAAAATCGGCACCAGAGTGCGAGTAATTGTTTGTGGCTAGAGATGCCATATCAGTTGCAAAAGAAGGTTCTCTCGTAGTAGGAAGGTGATTTCGAAGTGGTGATTTGACATCTTAGTTGTGAATTCACTTGAAGGGCCTCTACTTCATGAATGTTCTCAGTTAGTCGAGTATTATCCTCATAGTCATTGTACAGTATTTAAGACGGTTTCGTGAATTGTCATAGAATGACGTGTAAAATTCTGTTGCTGTCTATCTTAGAGAGTTAGAGGCTAGTTTTCCTTTAATTTTGAAAGGTGACTTTGCTATGGTGTTGGGAATAGAGGTTTCTTTCTTATTTTTCTCTTGATATTACTTGGAAAGAAAAAAAGATAGGAGAAAACGAACCGTGTCTGTGAAATCTACTGGAAATTGGACAAGCTAGCAATGCGGTTAGTGGTAAAATACTGGTTTAATAGATAGCATGGTGGTAGATAATTCGTTGTTAAATTTTGATAAAGACACATTTGGTCACTGACATTACTAAATCGGGACATGTTTAGTCACTAAAAAAAGTTAATATCAAATTTGGTCACTATAATTACTAAAACAGGACACAATTAGTCACTCGCCGTTAGTTGCCGTCCAACTCCGTTAAAAGAGTCCGTTATGTGCTGACATGGCTAACAGAATCGCCTAGTCAGCATTGTTTTGGACCAGATATGGTCAAACCCGACCCGCCATGTCACTAAACCCGCCACGTCACTAAATCCAACCTAACCCATTCACCCAACCGGACCCATAACCAAAGTCGATCCAGTTAACAAAACAAAATTGGAAAATCAGACCCGAAACCCTTCTCCTTCCTCCAGAAGCTCTGCTCCTTCAATTTCATCTACCATTTTCGATAGAACACATCAGAGAGCATAGAGCAGATGGAGCCAGCCACTCTACCCCTTGACCCCCTTGTCCCAGATCCTTCGTCGAAGTCGACTTCTTCTTCGTCGCGCGCCGGCTTCAGTTCCCCCATCGCAGCAGACAAAGAAACCCTAAGATCCACCTGCGAATCCGCTCTGTACTTCTTCTTCGTCGTGCTTCCCCCATCACGGCAGTGGACAAACCCTAAATCGATTCCCCCATCGCGCTGGTGTCAATTTCCCGTCTCCTGTGATTGTCTTGGTAGAGGCACTGACCGGAGCGGCAGGATGAGACGTCGAGGGTGGCACACTCCGGTGAGCTGCAGAAGAGCGGGGAGTAGGAGGAGGAGGAAGGCTGGTTGAAGATCGGGTCTGTTTGCTGAGCCAGGCCCGGAAGAAGTACTCCCCGCTGTCCTGGTTCAACCCGGATGTGACGGAAGTCGATAAATCGGACTGAGAGAGGAAATTAGGGGGGGGGGGGGGGAGTCGAAATCGAGTAGAGGGGTGAGGTCGGAGTAAGAGAGGAGGAGCTTGTTGGGGGAAGAAGAAGCTTGTTCTTCGGGTTCTTGTTCAGTGAAGGTAGTGGATTGAGGGTCGAAGGAGAGGATGTGGTGAGCTCGGTGGAGTGAAACGGAATGGGCGGATTTGCTGGTGATGTGAAATGGAAGGCGGAGAAGTGGAGAGGCGTGGTAGAGATGGAGAATAGGGTCGGGTTTGGTTATGGGTCCGGTTGGGTTAGTGGACTGGGTTGGAACAATGACGTGGCAGGTTTAGTGACGTGGCGGGTCGGGTTTGACCATATATGGTCCAAAACAATGTTGATTAGGCGATTCTGTTAGCCATGTTAGCACATAACGGACTCTTTTAACGGAGTTGGACGGCAACTAACGGCGAGTGACTAAATGTGTCCTGTTTTAGTAATTATAGTGACCAAATTTGATATTAAATTTTTTTAGTGACCAAACATGTCCAGATTTAGTAATTTCAGTGACCAAATGTGTCTTTAACCCATATTTGTTCATTCTCTCACATATCAACATAATACCGACCAAAACCAATAAAACATGTCATTCTACGACAACGGATAGACCACTTGTTTGCATTGTACCAAACGATACAAACATTTCCGATATATTTGTGTACCATACCGACGTAGTTGCTCATAGATAGATTTTGCAGTTAGTATAGTAGTACCACAAACCAAGGAAAAAAAAAAACGGGAGGCTGATTCCGGCATGCACATGAGGAAGAGGGCACATCATGTGCTAATTTCTCCCACTTGCTATCAATCACGTTGGATTCGAAGCCATTTTCGAAGAACATGTTCATTTTCCTTCCAACTCTGTAGTAGCCTACCCTTCTTTGGGCGCGCATGGCGCCAACCCACATGAATCCCCTGAAAAAAACCGAGTATAATAAACATTCACATGCCTTCTCGCGATCACGACAACCCTCTGCTTTCTCACTAATACTCCCTTAAATTCTCTCTTTCCTTCAATCCCCCATGTTTCCCGCCGCCATCTTCACATGCAAAACAGAACACATTCTTCCATAATTCCTGACCTCGATTCACAAGGCAGGAGAACATATATAAAGCCCTCCTGGCCCTTTACCTCATCGCAACGAACTCACCCACACCTCCATACCTCCAACAACAATGGCTTCTTCCACCTCGACTCTCATTCCCTTCACCATCTTAACCACATTCCTCATCTTCTCCTCCATCTCGGCTTCTCCATCATCATCCGAACCTACGATCCCCAGGCGAGAAATGCTCGATGCATTCTCGACCCAGATGCTTGCTGCTCACAATGCAGTGAGGGCAAGGCACCGCCTCCCGCGACTGGCGTGGAGCAACAAGTTGGCTAACTATGCTAAATGGTATGCCAACCAGAGGAGGAAGGACTGCCGGCTGGTGCATTCGACGGGCGACTATGGGGAGAACATCTTTTGGGGTCAAGGGAAGCGATGGAAGGGGACGGATGCTGTCAAAGACTGGGCTGCTCAGGAGGCGTACTACGACTATGGACGTGATGCTTGTATGGCGAATCGGGACTGCTTGCACTATACACAGTTGGTGTGGAGGAGTACTAGGAGAGTTGGGTGTGCTAGGATCAAGTGTGCCAATGGCGATACCTACGTCGTTTGCGAGTATGATCCTCATGGCAATGTAATTGGTCAAAGGCCATACTGATCTCTGTTAATGAGACTACATATTTGTGAGCTTTGTTCAGCTCAACCAACCTACGCCATAGATCATCCTCCAAAAGGGAAAGGAATTATCGAAGTGAATCAAATATAGACTACTACCACTGGTGATGGGTTTCAAGAACCCTTTTGTAAGTTTGTAACTACACAATACAACCAAGGAAAAGGTGGCTGGTTTTTCTCAGGGATATTTTGCTTATTCATCGATGTACTCAGAGGCACTGAGATACTCACCGTGCTCCTCGAAATACTCGACCAATCGCTTCAGAAACCTATCGCTACTGACCGTTTCGGTGTCACAAACAATGCAGCATTGCCTTCTTGCCCGCGTCACTGCTACGTTCATCCTTCTACGATCACTGAGAAATCCAACCTGAAATATGCTTTGTGAAGATCGGTAAGGTTCTCTAACCGTTAACCATATTTTTGACATTTGAGAAACTTTACCAACTTAAAGTCTGAGAATCAAAATGATAGATTGAAAGTAGATACTCAAAATATTACCTCACTCTTAGAATTCGATCGAACCATGGAAATAATGATAGCTTCCTTCTCTCGGCCTTGAAATCCATCAACAGTTGATATTTCCACTTCCTTCAGCTTGTCTTCATTGCCTCTGAGTATTTTTAAGAGAACTACCTGAAATAGGAGTTGAAGAACGTGGTAAAATTCACATCCTAGAGAAGCAATGTAGAGAATGCTTAATTTTGAGGGAGAAACTTCCACCTGCGCGGCATAAGGTGTAATGATTCCAATATCAGAGGCTTGAACTCCACTGCTTACTAGTCTCTTAGCATGCGCAATAGCAACTTTAGCTTCTCCTTCATTCAGTGTGCTATCTTCTTCGTCTTTCTTTTCTTCCATGTCACAACTGAGAAGAAGGAATTAGTGATGCAATTCATAGTAATTGGTGGGGGCGGGGATTAGTTATATATACCCTGCAATGTCCACAAGAAGAAGTGTGGCTTCTGTTGAAGTTGACTTGTTTGTACCCTCAAGATCATAGAGTGCATGTGCTGCAACTCTTGGATGGGCTTCGATCTGGATGATTTGCCAGAGTTGACATGTAAAAAGTGTTATAGCTCATTTAATTACACTAATCGAAGGAAAAAACTCAAAATAAACACTCTCACCTTGCTGTCATATAGCTCCTTAGAGGACCAGTTCATAATGAGCTCATGCATGCGGTACTGGACAGTAAGCATAGATGTAACTTCATCGCCATAGAGATCTGCTAGACGCTCAAATAGGGTTCTCCCTAAGCCTTTCTTCTCTGCTTCCACGCTTTGGATGGTTGGCGGAAGCTGAAGGTGGTCACCAGCAAGAATGCATCTTGAACCCTGACAAAGAACATAGCCAATCACTAAGCTGTAAGAGCTTTAATGTAAGATATATAACAAGAAATATTATACAAGCCTACTGCTGAATAAGATTTGACTGCACAAGCAGTTGCTACTTTCAAAATGTTGATGAAAATTTCCAATTTCAAGATGCCATTAAGGTGACTCAGCGGGAAAGGATGTCATTTCCGTGAAATGCAAGAAACAGCTGTCAATTTGTTTTTACCTTCAACAAAGGCATCCAGCAAGCAATCTCCAGTGCCTGAGCAGCTTCATCAATAATCACCAAATCAAATGATGTAGAGTCCAGCTTGCGAGAAGCAGCACCAGTCAGAGTTGTTAACACCACATCTGAAGTTTTAATCACATCCATAACAGCCAGCTGCTGCCTTTTACGCTCTTCTTTTGTGAGGGTTCTCAGCTCCTTCTGGATCTCCCTTCTAGTGTTTTTGTCTTTGGTCTTCAACAGCTTTCCATTTAATGTCTGGCAAAAAATAGTTAGAGTGAGAAGCAGATCATCAAGAAAGAGGGAAGGGCTGATAAATGCAATTATTCAACAAAGTTTCACTGAAAGCCAAAGCACCTACAATTACAAGGGATTCACATTGTAATGATAAAATTACCCTTATATTACAATAAACAGTCTCTACTCTGGTGGGTAGTATTGGCATTTGAGTTATAGAATGTGACCTGATATTCATATTTATAATGTTTTACGATCAAATCCATTTGCACTCCTTTTATTCAAATCTCTATTTCCTGACAGATTCAAATCTCCTTTTATTTAAACATTCGCGATGATGATGATGATGATGACATATAATCTGTTGCCAGATAAAATACTAATGCAACATCATACCTTCATTTCCTTCCGGATGTCATTAGCCAAACTGCTGTTGTCTCCACGCAGCACCTATCGTAGGAGAACATAAACTCAGACAGATGCAGTAAATAAGTCAAACGATGTATTATAAGTAGAAACAGAATTATCTCCTAAACAGAAGAAACTGCAATTGGATACTTTGCAAGTCATAAACAATGAGGAATTTAAACGGAATTGGAAGCTTCATAGAATATTTCCAAAAGGCATATCTCATGCATAGTACACAATCCATAAATGCTTGCAACACCTAGATGCAACAGTTGGTTCTATAGGATAAAGCCAATACAATCAAACTCCGGAGGAAGTTAACAAGATAACCATTCATGGGAGGTCTAGTCTAGGTGCACATGGTTCTTAACAACTGAAAGAATTAACAGTTGCACAAATCTATAAATTTGCTGCTGAATAGCTTACCTGTGCATCAAGGGCACTATCTAATACTTGAGGCAGTAAACGTGCTGGATGTCCCAATCTCACCAACTTTACCCTGGCACAAGAGCAACATTGAGAAAGACGAAAACATGAAGCTTTTCTCAAAAGAATACTAATCTGTTAAAGAATGTTAGCAGAAGGTACTCCAGAGCGTGTTCTCTCACTAAGAAACATACATCTAAGTCGAATCTGATTAAAAAACAGATGCTCTTTACAAAAGGGATAAGATGTAATAATACCTGTGAGGAACAAGCCGCTCTACAATGTTATCAACAGCAATGTTGGAAGCAGCACATGCAAAAATCTTCGATCCACGCTTCACTTCTTGTAAAATTATCTCCACCACAGTGGTCGTTTTCCCCGTTCCAGGAGGCCCGTGCAATAAAAAGATATTTTTTGAAGATAGAGCCCTTGAAACTGCATCTTTCTTGAGCGTGCCAGAAAGGATAAAACCAAACAACAAAAAAATCCATCCTGATTGTCAAGACCAAAACGTATACCAAGCAAATAAGTTTAGTTCACAGATCATATGTAAGATAAAAAGTCCGGATCATCCATGTCCCAGACTTATAAAGCCTGAAATTTTGTTCAGATGGCCAGCTGAAAGGAATGACAGAACTGTGAAGACACTTATGTTTGAAAATACAAAAAGTGTGCACAAAATTGATGAATTGGGGGAAAAAATCAAATGCCTACTCCCTTCTTGAACTAGAAATCCAAAAACGTGTCTTTCCATCCTTATCTTAAAGGGCGCGGTAACAATCAACAGTCACCGAAGAATGGGAAACATAGAAATCACGAGGTTGCACAATTGACCGTGAAAATAAACAGTAAATAGATAATCTAATGCTCAATTCTACCTGTGAGTGATCGAGATTGGAGTTAAATGGAGTAAACGTAACATCCTTCTTTGACACAGTAGGCTGTCTCTCACCGAAAAGAACTGGAACTAAATCTGAAGCAGGGCCCTTGTGTACACCTTTACTCAATTGTATTAATGCGTCTTTCATCCTACGATATGTTATCTGCATAGTTAAGTAAACAGCAAGAGTTCTTCAGCAATTACAGTTTTCTAATCGAGGAGGATTGATGTATCCCCAATTATCACTCAATCAACATGGATGCAGCTTCTCCAAATCCTACTAGAAAATAAATTTCCTCCTCACAGAGCATAAAACAAAGAGTCAGCCAGGATGAGGTACAAAAAGGGGGAAATGGTAAAGAAGAAACACTACCTCGTTAGCAACTTTCTCAAGTCGTAGCGAACCATTCAAACCATCTTCAGGCATATCATCGAAAGCAACGGTGATAGAGGTGTCCTGTTCAGTGTGGAAGCAAACTTACTGGCAGGAGTCACAAAACCATTCAATAACGGCCAAACATGCTTCATAGTCTTCTCAGTGCTCATCATTTTGTTCTAAAGACCAAAACTTTTACCTTCAAACGATAAACCACGCCTTGCCCGAGACCAGCAGACCCCGAATCAGCCTTGTTTGGCTTCAGAATAACCACATCATGGATGCCAAACTGAAAACAAGAGTTTGGCATAAGGAACAAATCCATTAACAGTTGACTATAAGTGAAGGATTTAAGGAACAAATCCATTAACAGTTGACAATAAGTGAAGGATTTAAGGAACGGAAAGAGTGTTATATAGTCGTAATTTTGTTGATCACTCACCTTATGAGCAGGAAGAACATCTCCTCTGGTTGATTGAAACTCGAGAAGAGATTTCCCCATCAGCCCAGTCTGATCAAACCGAAGCAAGAAAAAAGAAATCAACTTAACTGATAAAAACCCATTTAGTTCTGTTTGTGCTTTCATCAGCCAAAGACATCAGATACCTGGACGTCGACGCATTTCAAATTGAAGATTGCAGAGCCGCGCTTTTGGGCAGTCTCCAAGTTCCTGGTCGCGCCGGAGCTTATGGAGGCTGATATTTCCGCTTCCTGCAAAACAACACAGAAAATGAAAGGAGAGAAAGGGGAGACGAATGGGTTGCAGGGTGGAGGGAAAATGTTGTGAAGGGAGAAGAAAGAAACCTTTTCCATATCAATCAAAGGCGCCATGATGGAGACGAATTGGTCCAGAGATACGGGCGGCATTGTCGGGGAAGATGAGAAAGCTTTCTTCCCCATCGCCGCCTTTTTCCCTTTCTCCATCGCTGCTGCTGCTGCCGGGAATTCTCCCAAGGTCTCTTCTTCCTTCCGCCGGCAGTGCGAGTAACTTGGAGGTTCAGATTATGAGTGAAAGGCTACCCTGCTGACTGATCTGACCAGGGAGGGAGCCGGTTCATCTCCCTCAAATAATGATCAAACCACTCTCAAGCTCATTGGACAATGACTCAATGAGCGAGCACGCTAGGCAAGAGTTGTTGCCTGTTGGTGTACCACATCGTTGATACTTGCGCCAGACCGCAGTTGCGTATTGTGACTTTTATAGTTGAGGTTCTAGAGGAAGAGGACGAAATATATTTATGAAAAACAAAATATTTGTTTAAATGTCTGAAAATGAAAAAAAATGTATATTTGAGATACATCATACATGCGATTAAACGACACGTCTGATCAGCTGATCTTTTTTTTTAAGCACTAAGATAAAATCCTCAATAACTAGAACAAAACCAAATAAATTACGCATTGTCCTAATGACCTTTCATTGCCATGGAAAGAAAAGTGACAACAAACTGGTTATAAGAAGAAGAAAATCTAGCCCACAGCAAAGCAACATATCTAGAAATTCCATATGTGAGTTGAGAATGACTGATCATCTTCCACATCCAGCTGCTGGAGCTGGACTCTACTTGCCGCCGCCACGATATCCTGATTATGAAGATCTGCCATGCCATGCAAATCATACATGAAGGAATCCCAGTAACTAAAACCCTTGTCTTCCTCGAACGATGACGATGAATGGTCAAGCTGATCTCCAGAAACATCATAACAGCTGAACTCTTCCTTGTCCATAGGAACACACAGCCTCTCATCTTTCAAAATCCCCAGTTGCTGAAGAAACTCGTTTAGATCAATCTGCGGCTTAACTTTCTCTGTCTCAACCATCTCCACTGTTCCCTTCTCCTCCACCACCACTACTTCTTTCTCCGCCTGCGGTTTCTGAGTCATCGCAGAACCAACTTCAGGTTTCTGTGAACAAGAGTTGCTGCTGCTGCTGCAGGGAGCAGCAGCAGCAGCAGCATTGCTCTTCTTCTTCTGCAGCTCCTGAAGCCTCTGCTGGATGACGTGGACACTGGGCTGGGCATGCAAGTTGAGCAGTCCACGAGGTGGGAACAACGAAGCCGAGTTCCTGGATGAAAGCCATTTGAACCGGTTCAACCTCCCTCCGAAAGGACTACTGAAAGCAGCGGCAGCGGCAGCAGGGTTTATATAAGGAGGCTGGAGATGAGGCAAGTTGAGATAAGCCTCAGGACCATACAGCCTCCTCGCAGCCTCATCGTACGCCATGGCGGCTTCTTCAGCAGTGGTGAAAGAACCCAACCAGATTCGAGTCCTCTTCTTCGGCTCCCTGATCTCAGCCACCCACTTCCCCCATGTCCTCTGTCGAACTCCTCGGTACTCGCACATGGAGTTCTGTGGACCGCCTTTGCCCCTCGTCGGACCTTTCTTCCACGGCTTCAACGGCGAGGAGGATGACTTCCTGCAGTTGTTTTCCATGAGTGATGGTGGGAAGTGAGCGCGAGAGTGATAGTGAGAGTAAACACAAGTTCATGTTAAAATAGGGAGAATGAGGGGAAGGGAGCTCGTGTTGTTTAAAAGCTGTCACGTTCAGTCAAAAAGAAATGCAAACCAATCTTTAATCAACTCCCCAATTCTCACCATGCGACCGTTAGTGTATCTGCCAACTTAGATCTATTGGGAGAATTAATGAAATCAGCGAGAATCAACAGCAGTCCTTCTGTGAGATTTGGCTTCCCGCCACCACCTTGGATTCTCCATCACATTCTGCACACAGTAAAGCTCAGAGTTAGAGAAGAAAAAATGGTGGCCTGCAGTTTGATAAAAAAAATAATGAATTACCATTTCTTTTAATCCTCTCACCCTAACATTTTTACTATATTCACGTGCTAAAATTCACATGCAGAGTAGTACAGGGGCCGCCTGCCATTTCCATTCTCCCGTTCATAGACCTGATTCTCGAGACTCCCTTCCTTCACCTTTATCCCATGCCAGTCCGCTTCTCTCATCTCTCTGGCGCTCAATTGATGCATATATTGGCATGCCATGACAATAAATGAAGTGAAAGAAGATTCTGCTGCATTTATTTTACTAAGTAGCTAGACACTGTCCAATAGAAAGAAGAATGAAGGAAACACTCAGGAACGATTCGTATGTCAATACACGGATCATGTGCAGCCAGTGATCTGGACTGTGGATGCACCCTGTACATCCGACGCCCGAGATTGCCTGACTGCATGATCCAACAACATTGGCATATTAATCGGATTCTTGAAGCACCCGACTGTTACTGAAAATGGAACTCCTGATTTATGAAGCAAACATAATAGACATGCGACAATAGAAAGGAAGGTACCTTTTTACTGGAGGTCATTATTCAGAACAGTCGGTTCATGGTTGTCTTGAGGCAACTCACAGACAATGCGTACGTATACCTGTACAACATTACGACCTATAGTATCCTTGCTTCCAAAAATCAAATCTCTCATTGTTAGAGACAGTAATTCAAAAGTAAGAAATTTTTGGCAGTGAAAAGGAGAGCAAGGATTATTCTGTCACCAACATACTTTGCATTACTTCACCATATTGGTAGTATTCATGTGTCGAAACGGTAACAAGTCCCTACAGCAAACTTCATACTTACTACTGCATAGAATCTCTCTACTGACCTAACCAACAAAGATTGATCAGAAAAGAAAATCTGCAAGTTTGTGCATTAACCACTCGTGGAGAGATTTCTACACAGAAAGGAAAAGGTTGGAGAAGGAAATGGTGAACAAGTCATTGGTCCACAAAACTTCCAATGTTCCTGAGTTGTCCCACCATGAAGCTTAAAACGATGTAGGCAATGAAAGTTCAGCAGTGAATAAAAGAACCACCAAGAAGGCAGTGTCTTACAATCTAGCCTCACTTCACATTCTTGAAGGAAGTGGGAGATTGACAAAAAAAAAAAAAGATTATGAAAGCATGAACTGGGAACTCCACTGCTGAAAGCAGTTATCTTGACGAACAGCCCCTGGGCGCGACAACAGACACAACAGATCATCAATTTTTAGATGATGGTGATGATGGATAGTGTGCTGCTCTTCATCCAAGCTTTAGCACCATGACATAATCAATGCTGCTATGTCTCTTCACCAAATTTAGGCCTTATCAACTTCCTCCTCTTGGGCGGCGGGTTTTCAGTACTCACGACATTATCATTGCCAGTAGTTTTTGCAGCTTCAACCTGATGAGCTTTACACAGTTTACTACTACGGCGTTTGAAATCCACAAAAGGAGAACTTTCTCCATTCTTCATGAGAGCATCATCATCATCCTCCACTGGCACTACGCTTATTTCCAAGTGGTCATCATGCTTGGTTTCTGGAGGGAATATTTTCCTTTTATTATTTCCTACTTGATAATGAGCACCAGCATCGCGTCGCCCATTCAGAAACTTGGATGGTTTGTTATCGTTCAACCACCGATATCTACTCTGCTTCAACGAAGCCATGATTTTACTTACTGAAAAGTCATCTTTATCGTCATCATCCTTTCCAACAAAGTTGGTAGTACTATCTCGCTCCGTTTCTTGTGTAGTAGGGAAAACCATGCGGTCAAACACAGAACGCTTGTTACGATTTTGTTGATCTGAATACATCCTATCAGCATCCTGACCACCATACAGATTAGCTGGAGAATAAGCACCATAATCTGATCTTCTACTGTCATGAGTTCTCTTCGAATTAGGAATGCTATTGTGACTGCAGGGAACTTCCTCATGAGCACTTCCAGATTGTGGAATATTGCCTTCCCGTGAAGTAGTCACCACGTGCCTACGGCCTGAAACTGAAGGAGTATTGATGACAGGAGGAGGCAATAAGGAATGCTCCTCAAATGCAGTACAACCACTTTGATTTTTAGATGGCAGAGGTTGCCGAGGAAGGGATGGCCTTGGAAAGAAGAACTCATTTGACAAACTACAATGGGAAAGCATGTTAGACGTGTATGATGCTTCATCATTGTCACCGGACAAATTAGAATGATCATACCGCGGGGGCAAACTGCTGTCATCTCTGAGATGCCTAGCTGGACGATAGGCGGCACCATTGAGCGATGGAAGGGATTCATCAGGAAATGAACTAGAGACTCGTATTAGCGGTGATAAGTGGTCAGTGTCATTATAACTGGGAGCCTCTGGGTTGTAAGGTTGTGTACGAATATTACCAGTTCCTGGTCTACCAGATGTTGCTGGTTGACGACCATTAAAGATCAATGACGGTTTTGGCAATGTCTCCAGAACTGATAAAGCTGGATAGGGCTGTAAGGGTGAGTAACTTTGTTCCGCTGGTGAGCGATGCATGATAGAAGTACGTTGGAGATCATCACCAACCAATGAATTTGCTTCAAAAATGGAATTCCTGCCATACACAGGTGGATCAGGATACTGAGACACACTAGGTTGCTGCTCGCTTGACACAGGTGGGTCATAACCAGGATCCATGGAACCTATTCTTCTACCCGTAGAAATATGTTGGAGGTCATACACAGGTGGATTAGGATACTGAGACACACCAGGTTGCTGCTCGCTTGAGAGATGTGGGTCATAACCAGGAGCCATGGAACCTGTTCTTCTAACCGTAGACATATGGTGGAGGTCATACACAGGTGGATTGGGATACTGAGACACACCAGGTTGCTGCCTAATTGAGATAGGTGAGTCATAACTAGGATCTCTGGAACCTAATCTTCTATCTGTAGAAGTACGTTGGACGTCGTTATCAACGAAGAAATTTGGTTTGTATATTGAGTTGCTGCCATGCATAGGTGGATTAGGATACTGGAAAACACCAGGTCGCTGCTCACTCGAGACGGGTGGGTCATAATCAGTAGTTCTGGAACCTCTTCTTCTATCTGTAGCTAGAATGGGTTTAGAAAACCGGCTTCCACCATCCAGGCTATGGACAAAATTTGCATTAATTTCATTTCTGAAATCCCCTACAGTTGACTGCCAGTTTTCCTGATGAACTGGTCTTTCTACTGCTACATTATTGCTGACAATCACGTCCCCTACGTCTTCTATAGGGGTAACCGGCACATAAGAACCACCGTTCAATCTACCATCATTTCCTATAGTAATGCTTGCATACTCATCCATTGCTCTTCTAATAAAATTGGTTGTGTTTTCTGAATATTCGGGGGAGCGGACTGACCTAGAACCAGGAATAACATTTTGCTCGTATCTTTCTCCGCCAAGGTTGCTGTAGCCATCATCAATTTCTCCTTCAGGGGGTGAACTCACATAATTTGGAGTGGAAGATCTTCTAACTTTGTTTTGTGGAGATTTTCTATGATGGAGTTGCCGCTGTAACTTCCTTGAGCTGAAGAGTTGAAGAAGTTTTTCTACCTGCAACCGAATTCACAAACAAACTTGTGTTTACTAAGTGCATTGAAAGATGCATAATGTTCTTTCGCTACAGAGAAAGAGCACACCTGTCTTTCACTCAATCCAAAGTTGAACTTATTTGGGGAGAAGTAATTTTCACTGATTGCTCCAGAAAATTCATCCTCTGAAAGTGGATTGCACCTCAAAATAGTAGTGAACCTTACCTAGAACAAAAGGATGGAAACAAACAAAGGAAGTAGCAGTTGAATGAAACTAGTTGGACGACGATCAAACTTCGAGGCCAAAATATAACCACCTTCTGGATTTGTCCATTCCCATATAACTAACTTAACACATCAATGAAAATCAGTAAAGAAGATGATTGTGTTACACATTCAATGCATACCTGTGCACAGAACTGCATCCCAGAATCACTATACGCATGTGGTACAATATCCATGGCCCCATCAGAGCACGCCCGAAACACGCCATGCAGCTCTCTCCTCTCATACTCAAATAGAAACAAAATCATGCCAGCCTTGACATGCCCTACGAAATCGGCTTTCCCTGATGGAAGGCCAAAGAGTTTGCGTCGAAAACATTCTCTCATTGTAGCACGATTACACATAAAGATCGCACCAACTTGGGGAAGCCTTCCGGAAACCTTACTCTGCTCTTTGTCAAACCCCATGGCTTCCTTTCAAGTTTCAACACCAGCTGCCAAGTTCAGTAGCAAAAACAATAACAACAACAACACAAAGAAAAACCGGGGAAGGTCCAGGCCGTAAACATTTGATGAATAAAACAAAATCTACAGCGAACTGCTAACAAACGGGAATTGAAAAAGAAATTCGATGAACTGCTTCAGCCAAACCAAACGCAATATCGTTCTTCCAGAAAATAGTTCATCACATAACCAGAACAAGAACAAAACACAGAAACAATGAGTAGCATTTCAAGGCGAATCTACCACCAGCGTATCAAAATCAAAGACAGCCAGGAGGAAAAGAAACTCACGCCCACTGACGGCGACAAATGATAAAGAAAACTACTAAACTCGTCGGGGTAAAAATCGGATTGGAAAATCAAGAACCGGTGCCGATATACCAAGCGGATCATTCAGCAATGCCATCATGAAAAGAATATCGACTGAAAATGACACAAGATAACTGAGGAGAATAGGAATCGCGAGAAGAACAAGGGGAGAGTTTACCAGATAGTTGAGCAATCAACTGAAGAAGGGAGACAAGCAAAAATGGCGGAAGGAAGGAGGTAGAGACGTCGGCGGATTCTTGAGATAGAGACCGAATGGGAAGGTTTTTGAGAGCGCAGTAGTAATATACTAAAATATGATATGTTTTGTGCAGAGAGAGATATACTCGCGACGCCACGGGTGGCGATCGCTTCGGTGTCTCTGACTCCGGAACAGAGGTCTCGATGCGCGGCGCAGCCGTCAAATCAACTTTTGAGGGTAAATTGCAAGTTTGGTCACTGAGATTAATAAAACATTCCTATTTTATCACTAAAAATATTTAATTCTATTCATGGTTATTAGATTTAGTAACGTGTTATGTTTGGTCAATTTTCGTTAGTCTCGGTTAACGACATTATATTTTGCTGACATGTTTATCAGAAATATCTAATCACCCAATTTTAACCCGAAAATTTTAAAATTCAACCCGCCATGTTATTAAAAATTGTGATGTCATATAACCACAAACCAACCCATAAACCGACCTGTTAACCAACCCCCTTTCTTTTCCCCTCTACTCTCTCTCTCTCCCCCTATCTGTTTGCGTTTCGTCTTCCAACTCGACTCCAACTTCCTCTTCCTCGAAAAACAGCTCAGGATTCGCCCATCGACAACGGATCCAACTTCATTGTTTGGAACCCCACCGTCTTCATCATGGATATTCTCCCCAAGAACTTCAACAGCAACCCCTCACATTCAAATCGAACTCTAAAACCCCCCAACTCTTCTGAACACCAAGAAAATGAAATCTGAAGTTGAAAGCGCAGCAGTTGAACCAACGAACTACACCAACCCTGACGAGCTAGCTCCAATACGATTATGCTCTAATCCATCTTTTATTTTATTCAATAAATAACTATTTTATTTTTCTTTTTCACTTTGAAACTTATGCAATCATTAAATTATTATTATTATTATTATGAGTATTAAATTGAGATAAGAGGTTTGGCAATTATTTTTTGGATCAAATTTCACTAGCCCTTAATTTAATATAAAATTTCCATACATTTTAACTTTCAACTTTTATCAATAATCTACGTAAGTTGAGATGATATTCAAGAAAATTTTCTTTTGATGATATTCAAAGTTCTCTTGATTTTTTTTTTTATAGTTGGGTTGCTGTATCAAATTGAACCTAATTGAAGTATATGTATACCATTGTCTTGATTTTGTACAGTGGTAGAGGATTAATGTTTAAATTAGATTGTCTGTCACAAGGTATAGATGTGGTTTTGTGAGTTTTATCACTAACACAATTTTTATTATCTTGTCACGTCAATCACTTGTTAAGTTACATTTGAGTCACAAGTTTGTAAACTTAACAAGTGATTGACGTGACAAGATAATAAAAATTGTGTTAGTGATAAAACTCACAAAACCACATCTATACCTTGTGACAAACTTATGCATCTCTTATTCGTGAGATTTTTTTAAGTTCAAAACTAATGGTAGTACCGTTCATCCATCTCAAAAGAGTGACAAGAGATACCATAGTTCGAGACTCAATCGCAGCCTTACCGGTTACCATGGTATGGATGATAAATACACAAGTTAGTGTCCGTGCATTCAAACATTCACATGTTCCTGTTGCAATGCCTGCTTATCCAACTAGCACTATACACAGACTCAACGTACAGTGGCAATATCCTTACTACTGCTGTCAAATAAATTGGTCAAAAAGCCTCCTACCCATCAAACCATTACTGAAGCGAGAACTTGGATCATATTCCTGTATAGCATCTCTACCTCTACTGACCAAGCAAAGAAGGATTGATCACAAATGAAAACCTGCAAATTTGTACATATTGATCTGAGAAGGAAAAGGGACGATCTCATAGATCCCCAGAAGTATTGTCAGCTTTCCAAACATCTCCCGGAGTTTTCCCATTAAAAAAGCTTATTGAACTGCAGAAACCACAAACATATCCTTGACCAACCTGCAGTGGAGTTTAGGGATGGTAGAACTTACATCAGCCTGTATGCATAAGAAAAGAAAAGCAACCACACGAGGGAAAAGCTAATCCTTCATCAAATTAAAAGGAAAACAGCTTCTTCCGGGCTCAGATTCTCTTAGTATAAACCCCTTCAAGCTACAGAAGTTAACAAATGTGGATATCGAGGTGGCACTTTAGCTTCCGCAATAATCATGATGAGATCTATCTCAGGAATTTCCAACTATCAGAAAGAATGAAGAAGTCTATAATCGTATATGCGGAAGAAAGAAGAAAAAAAATGGAGGAAAAATTGAGTTGAAACTTACCAGGCTGGCTGATGACTGTTACTGTCCTTTACACATTTTCTTCCATTTACTCCTAAGGTCCTCTGGGTTGCGAATATCACCAAAAATAGACTTCCCATACTCTAATATGGACTTCCATGGAATATTTCCCTTGTTGGAAAATTTCTCTACCCCTTCCTGTAGCAGTGCAGCAAGAACAACATCAATCATGCTAAAAGAGATAGCTAAACAAAGAAAATGACATGTTGAAGAAACAACAGGACAAGTCTCATGAAAGTTGACCGATTGGTAACCTTTAGCTTCTTTTCTTCCTGTGCTGTCCATTTAACTGCCTGTCGTCTTGGTGAAGAAACCGCATCCTTCCTGCTCAGATGATGAGGTTTAGATTGATTGATAATGATGACAGCCATGAAGAATGCACCAGACAAATAGATAAGATGTTCAAAGGTGACAAATATATAAAAAGTTCAACAACCAAGTCGATCAAGGTTATTACCAATATTAAAAAACAAATCAACCACCATCTAGGATCAACAACCAAATTACTAAAACTTACTATTACCTTTTTCTCTTCCTCAAAATCAAGGATTGGTTAGGGCTCATAGTTTTATCATTTTCATTTTTCGAGGCTCTTCTACCCATCGGGACAGCACGAATAGGCATCACAAGTTTGTGCTCTAGAATTTTTTTTGGAACTTCCTTCTCAGTTAGTCCTTTAGCTTGCCCCGATTCTTCCGAATTCACATCTTTCTTTTCACGTGATATATTATTACCACGGCATGGGGGCTCGGGAAGATCTAGGTCCTGCTTTCTATCAGGTACTTTTACTGATGGGCAAGCTTGCGTTGTTCCTTTGATCTCACTTTCCGAAATACCTCTTGAAACGCAAAGAGAATCCACTGGATCCTGTTCACTAGTAGGGTGATTGCTGACACAGTGGGCAGGCACAGACTCAAGTTGTACACTATCTGTTCTGTTCTGAAATTGGTAGTCATTGCCTTGATCGACATCTTCTCCATTATTTGCTTGATTGCCTTCTCTCTTCCCTGGATTCCTAATCCCATCTTCAGAAGAGCTCTTAGAATGTTCAATTGATGGATTCTCTGGACCTTCATGAAGAAATGCACTTAGTTGCTTCAACATCACAGATGCCCTTTCCTTAGCTTTCTTGTAGTCTGAAATGGCAAGAGAATATGCACAAAAGGGGCAGCAGAATTGTCCTCCATTATCCGAACTTGGTGTAAAACCCAAGCAGCTTTCATGAATCGCCAAAGGGCAACCATCTGTACCACAACACAACAACTGGCCATTTTTGCTACATTTCAAACAGAGATTTAACCCTGAAAAATCTGCTGCAGCCATAAACTCCTTACTCAGCAGACCTTGCGAGTTCAGAGGATTGCTTTTCATTGTGTCATCATTAACTCTCTTGTGGGCACATTTACCAGTATCTCTTTGTGGGGATTCTTTGGATAGATGTCCATTTTCCTCCTCGACATTACAACTCCTGGTCAATCCACTCACTATTAGACCATCACCTAATTTTGGCTCTTCATCACGACTAGTTCCACCATTGTGGTCATCACAAGAGACATCTTGGTGACATTCCTTCAGGGCTGTGTCACTTGGTATTCTAGGTTCAGACTCATTAGCTTCATCATTAACAATCATTTCTTGAAGCATATCTGATTTACCTTGTGACATTTTGTTGATATAACAATCAGCCTCACATCGATTGTCCTCCTGTCTATCGTCCGAGGGAGCCTGAATACACTGACCGGATGTCTCGGCAGAAATATTGCCAGCATTACTTGAATTTTCACGCCCCTCAACTCCCCTTAGAGATTCCATTTCCGAATGACAATTTTCTTTTGCAGTTATCTGAACCTTACCTTTGCAAGTGTCTTTCACCAAATTGTTATCACAGTCCATATTACCGTGTAATGTGTCCTGCTGAAATCTCTCATTATTTACTAGTTGATTATCACCATTATGAGAATGTCCTTGCTCACCCAAAGACGCTGCACCATGGTTATTATCAACTTCATCACCTTTGGATGATAACATATTGCAGTCGTGCAAATCTTCCTCTTGTGCTCCTTGCTCATTTCCTCGGGACTGAGAAATTGACTTCCCTGTTGACATCTCACTTTGATTGTCGATCCTCCTGTTCCCCTCAAATTGATGTTCATCCATAATAGTTTTATTACCATCTTCCTTTTCACGCAGCAACCCACTAAATTTGGCCAACAAAGTAGCACTTGAGTCGGAACCTTCAGCGATTGTCTCTTTTATCTGCTCGGACGAAGAAAAAGGAACAATATTTGTGAACACAGCATCTTCTCTACTGACAAGGATCTTACAAAAACCAACCATTCCCACAGACTATACCTGCTCTAAAGCACATTTAGGCATGGAAGCTTTCTTGTGCATAATGAAAGGCTGAATATCCCATTTCAACAGCTCTGGTCCACCCTTTTCCAAATCCGAAATCGATATCTGATCAAGGAGGAACAAGAACACACACTCAATTCCTTTCCAACTTACACAACACATCGTCCGGTAACTTACACATGTAAGTATTCTACAAAAAAGAAGCATGGTTTCCAAATAAAAATTACCGAATGATTACCTCCTGCAATATTGTTTGGATCACATCTTCACAGCTGTTGGACAAATCGATTACCACCTTAGGCTCTGAAGCAGATGGAGCCCCATTAGCAACAGCATTTGTGCTAGCATACAAGTCCTCCAAGCACCTTAGAGCAACCCTTTCCCTAGCGCTTCTGAAATCAGTGGAGGAAGCTGGTGCTTGCTCTATCAATTCTGGAAAAGAAACAAAACCATTCAACAAAATTCTTTCCCTCTCCAAAACCCAAGTAACGATGACAGCAAGAGAAAGAAACCCCAAAAAACGCACGATGGAGAAGCGAAGCGTCTGTCTCCGAGAAGCTTGCTAGATACTCGATGAGCCATAGCCATATGACGCTGTCACCGTCGTTCGGCGGGTCGGACATGAAAGCTCTCCGTCAGAAACTCGGGTAAATTCACAATTTCTTCTAACCCACCCAACACTTTACACGACGAAGGGAGAAACTAGGGCAAAGAGCCGGTCCCGATTCCTTTGCTTTTCTTTCTTCCCTTCACATGTTTACTCTGTTGCAGAGCAACACTGACGGTGCAATCGGTGTAAAGTAGACGATCACAGGAAGCCACAAATGAGGGAAGAGGGAAAGCAAAGCCTCGGCACTCGCCGGAAATTGGGTCGGAAGAAAATTTGGTGGAATGGGTGGAGACGAAATCAAGTCAAGATGGAAGGGATTTGAGATTCTGAGAGATAGCAGGCAAATAGGGGGATGAAGAACCGACGAGAGGAAGCCGCCGAGCGAGGGGGACAAAGTAATGGAGTAATTCCGCAAGGCTAAACTTAATCTGTTAACTTGAAAATTCGTTAGCAGATACTAACTGATATCCAAAATACATGAACTAGTATCCAAGTACTAAAGTATCTAGAGAGCACAGACTAGTATTCAAAATTTACTAACTGATATCCACCATGAATCAACTATTATCCCAAATTCACAAACTAATATCTAGACAACACAGAATAGTATCCATACAACACATAATTAGTATCCAGATAACACATAAGAGTATCCAAATAACACATAAGAGTATCCATATTGAATACTAGTTGGTTGATTGTGGATATTAGTTGGTATCTGCTATCTTGATACTAGTTTGTGATGTTTTGAATACTACTCTGTGCTATCTAGATACTCAGCAAACTTGGATATTAGTTCATACATTTTGGATATTAGTTAGTATATACTAACAAATTTTCAAGTTAGCAGAATAACTAGGCTGATTCCGCAGAGAAGAAGAGTATCTGAGAAGGAACAAGTCATTCTAACATTAAATCTAAAAAGTTCAGGGGCTAATGTTTACCATCTAGAGGAATACGGTGACCAATTTGTCATATTATTCATTAACCCCTACTCTAAGTCTAAACCTTGCGCCTCTTCACTGAAATCTCTGCCGCTACTGACTGCTCCCACCATTCCTAATCGTTGAAATCGACGGGGGTTTTCCTTTCCAACGATGTAATCGACAAGGTTCTGAAGAAATTCCGGTTTAGCCATGGGAACCCTCTCGGTGCTCTCGAGTTCTTCAAATTAACGGGAGATAGAAGAGGGTTTTATCATTCACCGTTTTCTTTGGATACCATGCTTTACATTCTCGGGAGGAGCCGCAAATTCGATCACATTTGGGATGTTCTGGTTGAGATTAAGAAGAAAGATAGGAACTTGATATCTCCACGGACTGTGCAAGTGGTGTTGGGTAGAATCGCCAAGCTATGTTCAGTCAGGATCAGGATGACAGTGGAGTCGTTTAGGAAGTTCAAGAAGTTGTTTCCTGAGTTCGATACCACTTGTTTCAATGCTCTGTTGAGAACTCTGTGTCAAGAGAAGAGCATGAGTGATGCTAGAAATGTCTACCACAGGTTGAAGACCGAGTTCAACCCGAATTTGCAGACCTTCAACATACTCTTGTCCGGTTGGAAGTCTGCTGAGGAAGCGGAGTCGTTCTTCCGCGAAATGGAGGAAATGGGTGTGAAACCTGATGTGGTTTCCTACAATTGTCTGATTGATGTGTACTGTAAGGGAAGTGAGATGAAGAAGGCATATGAGATGATTGGAAAGATGAGGGATGAAGATATATTGCCTGATGTTATAACGTATACTAGCATTATTGGAGGGTTAGGGTTGATCGGGCAGCCGGATAAAGCCAGAGATGAGGGAATACGGTTGTTACCCAGATGTTGCAGCTTATAACGCTGTTGTCCGAAACTACTGCATTGCCAAGAGGATTGGTGATGCATATGACTTGTTGGATGAGATGGAGGGGAAGGAACTGAATCCTAATTCCACCACTTACAATTTGTTCTTCCGTGTGTTTTATTGGTCGAACGACCTGCGTAGTTCGTGGAACTTGTATCTGAGAATGATGGATGCTTGTTGCCTGCCTAACACAAACTCATGTATGTTCCTGATCCGGTTGTGTGGGAGGCATGAGAGGGTCGACTTGGCACTAAAGCTGTGGGGTGACATGGTGGATAAGAGCTTTGGGTCTTACAGTTTGGTATCTGATGTGTTGTTTGATTTGCTTTGTGATATGGGGAAGTTGGTGGAGGCCGAGAAATGTTTCTTGGAAATGATAGAGATGGGACAGAAGCCAAGTTTTGTTTCTTTTAAGAGGATCAAGGTGCTGATGGAGTTAGCGAAAGATCAGGATGGGATTCGAAACTTGTCTGAGAAGATGGCTGTGTTTGAGCCTTCAGTTCAAGTTCCTCAAACAGCAGTGAAAATGGTGCCAGAACAAGCAAAGAATTATTCAAAGGACAACATACATGGAGAGGAGTTGAGAGAAATGGAGATGGATTCCAACGTCCATTTATTTCACGTTAATATGAGAAAATTGTGAATTTTCATCTAGGATTGTGGCTGAGATTCTATTTTTTAACTATTCAAGAACGGCGGCGTTGACTAGCTAGCTAAAAGTCTTCATTTGCTCCTCCGACATTTCAACTATTCCTTTCGATAAGCACTTGACTCCTTCTCCCTCCTTTTCTTACTCGCAAAGACCGACTTACTAAGAACATCATCTCCGTTCTTCTCCTTTCCTTTCCGGTGCTCCCAATCAACAATTTGATCAGCACCATGTACTCCTCCAACCCCAATTCCTACGACAAGTTCTCCTCCGCCCCCGCCGCGGCGGACCGAAAAACAACTCCGCCGACGATCTTCTCCAAGGATTCTTCAACCACCACCACCACAACCTTTACGGACAGTACCGGCGGCACTGGCAGCCACTTCTACAGCACCAGCTCCGATGTCGAGCCCAAGGAATTGGTCGACTGGTCCTCCGGACTCTGCGACTGCTTCTCCGATTGCCGCAACTGTAAGTCTCAGATCTTCCCAATTCCGCTCGATTTGGGGAACTATAAGTTTCAAATTTCTCCGGTAGCTTACGAATTGTGTTGTTGGTCGGTTTCTGGATCTGGGTTTTGATTGGCAGGCTTTATAACGTTCTGGTGCCCCTGCGTCACCTTCGGCCAAGTCGCCGAGATTGTGGATATGGGATCCTCTGGTAAGTGAAAAATGAACCACATAGAGAGCCAGCAAGCTAAGCTTCTTTCCCCATTTATGTGGCTTTTGTGTGAATCAGAAGAATGAGAAGAAGAGAAGAAGCAGAGTTGATTGATTCTGGTCTGAATGTTGTTTTGTGGTGGTTTGCCTTTGCAGCTTGTGGTGTGAATGGCGCACTCTACACTCTGATAGCATGTGTGACTGGGTTTCCCTGTTGCTTCTCTTGTTTCTACCGCTCGAAAATGCGGCAGCAGTACGGTCTCAAGGGCACACACTGCGGCGATTGTTTGGTTCACTGCTTCTGCGAGTATTGCTCCTTGTGTCAGGAGTATCGCGAGCTGAAGAACCACGGATTCGATCTGTCCATTGGTAAGCTCCCCCGACTCTGTCACTTCCCCAGAACCAATTGGCTCTTGCCTGTGTAAATCTTGGGTTTCATGTAAAGCTGCATACACAAGTGTTTAGGTCGTCGTGAATCGTAATGTGATCGTGTATGTATATACTGGTGTAGGATGGCATGGAAACGTGGAGAGGAAGAACCAGAACGTGGAGATGGGTCGTCTGCCTCCAGTAGTCGAACGGGGCATGACCCGATAGTCCTGAGATGGTATGTGCTTCTCTGCAGTAGTATGTGCAAGTGTATGTATTATCACAATAACGTGTGATGATGTATGTAATTCTGGTATCCTTGTTCCTGTATCATGATGTTTCTTCTTGTTGTGTATGTTGTACTGCTACATTGCGATCGGAGATATGGACTCCTATATTGGTGCTGTAAGCACTTCATTCTTGCTCCAGCTCCACTTGAAACTGTTTCTTAGTGCTTATCATCCCTCGACGAGCTGCTGGTTTCGTTTGGAGTTCAGGAATTAGGGTTATTTTGGTGGTAAGTGTCTGAGTAATCCTGCTGAGTGAAGCTATCATATTCATAGTTCATAGGCTACAAGCCGAAGCTCGAAAACTGCCAATTGGAGTGTCCTAGTAGGTATGATGATATCATTGATACGAGGTTGTGTAACCCTATTTATGTTACCTTACAGGTTGCTCTAATTGTTGGTGAGTTGCTTCTTTTGATCATTCTTCGTGACAGTTGCTAGATTAGTTCTTTCCTTATGTGATCATGAATTAGATCTAGCAGTATGTCTTTCATTTCGGTTTAAAGCTCTACTTCGACTTGGTTCGAGTCAGATAGCACGAACATCAAACCTTTTCTTCTTAATTCTTCTGTGGGTAAAAGAGTAAATCAGTGATCAATCAAATTGTGGTGGTTCTTCTGGTTTTATGATCAACTGTGAAAAAAACTGTTCGGTTCATTCTTAGTTGTCCAAATCAATGAATCGAATCACTATTGAAACTGGTTTGACGATTCTACTAACCGGTTGCTGATCCAGTTCGATACTTTTAACACCGGTAATGACCCACTTTCTTTTGATATAGAAATCAATCACATCCAATAAACCATAATATGTCTCTTCATTCAATTAAACCTAAACCCCCCTTTCTATTCTTGCCAGATAGGTCGACCCAACCTAATTAGTCATCAATGTACATGCAAGCAGTATAAATTCAACCACTAACCGGCCCCAGACCCATAAATTTTCTGAGACCAGCCAGCCTAATCCCCTGCATAATCCAATCCAACACTGATTATCTTAATGCTAACAAACAAACTAATCCACTATAAAACAAAACCATTTTTACGATCAATCATTTCATATTCTATTCGTTCACCAATCAAAACCGCTGATCGAGTCACCGACCCGCCCCACTAGATTTGTCTTGTTTGAGCTTGAATCTCAGGAACTACCGTTGTTTCACGGAGATCAGATCTTCGCTGAGATTAACGATGATTTAAAGTATAATCGAGATGATGAAGCTGCAACTTCGTGAGTTTAATCATGTCAACTCAATAATGGATACATGATTCAACTGATACAACAAGGTAGAAGAAGACTAGGATGATCCTCAAACGTCAAACTCAAAGCACATTGATTTCGATTTCGAATTAATTTATTGCTCAATCAGAGATGATTACAGAAACCTCGAGATAACATTACAAACCAAAAATCCATCACAAGAAAATCTCTTCAATCTAATCGGTCAAAACCTAAATTCGGAGGGGAGAACCGGAAAATCTGCTGAAGAACTTCTCAGCCGATTCGATCTCTTCCGTCAGATAGCTACACAAGAGTGTATTTACAACAACAAGCAGCAGCAGCAATAACCACAAAACCCGATCCAAGAGCGAAGAACGGCCGGCCTCTAGTCAACGGTTATTTCGATTGAATTCGTTTACCTGGAGAGACGGAGGAGGTTGCTGAGGATGCGAGAGAAGGCGAGGCGTATCCGCGGATACGTACGGATAGTGTGGACGGCCATCTGGCGGAGCATGTCCTCGATCGTCTCGACGAACAGGTTTAGGGAGCGGATCGGCGGGATGTAGAGCGTCAACGGCACCGCCGAGAACGCCACCGCGAAGAAGAGCTGCAACATTTGAGGTTGGAGCAAATCCGACCTGCAACCGTCGGGTCCAGCGGGGGGAAGAAGAAGATGGATTCGTCGGATTTCTGGCCGGCGGAGGGTTTTCTCGTGGGGTTTTCTTTATTTCTCGTTTGCCTCGCTTTGATTTCGCGGAAGAGATGATAAGGAGAGAGAGAGAAAGGAGACGGCCGACGGGGTTTATTTATTTGATGTCTTGATGGTGAGAGGACGAACGGTGAAAGAAAGAAAGCGAGACGGTACCTTTATTTTTGTTGTTTCTTTTTCATTTTTGCTGATGAATAAACAAAAAGATTTTCGCCTTTGGGTTTAGCAATTTGAAGGAGACAAAGGAATCTCTTTTCTATTAGCTTAATCGCTTTCGGAATAGGTCCTGTATAGATAACTAGATATGGATGCCAATTAAACAATTAACTTTCGGATTACCAAATTTTGGGCTACGAATTTGTTTAGCTAATGGTATAAATGAATTCTATAAATTTGGATAAATTTATTTTGAAGTAAAACATTTTTGTGTTTGGTATTTAAATGATTTATTTTCAATTCTAAATTTGGAATTCTATGGAATTGGAACTAGTTATAGCAATTCCAAGAAATTGAGATGAAATTTCCAAATGAATTCCACAAGTATTTACTAATTATAATAAAATAATATAATTATTCTCTTTTATTAACTAAATTATACTTATATATATGGCATATCGAACACAGGAATTCATTTGACAATGAATTCTACATTGCAATTCATTTTATTTTTAATGATTTAAATATGACATACCAAAAAAAGTTTTCATTTGACAATGAATTCTACACGGCAATTCATTTTACAATGAAATGAATTTTCGATTCATTTGGTACCAAACAGTCTGTGAAAGATTTACTTTTATCACATTAATAATTACAAGAAGTTTAAAACTTCATAAGATCAAACTTGATATTAAAAAATTAATTATTTGAACTGCGTCTTGGTTAATTAGATTTTTTCGGCCCAATTGTCGACTAGGTAGTCGGCCAGTTTCAACGAACCACCAAGTCTGCTAAGCAAAGTGGTGAGCCGACGAGAACAATAAGTATGAAGGCCATTTGGGTCGTCAAGCGTTTGAACAATCCTTCATCATGGAGACAAAGCGACGATGATACAATTCCATTTAGTAAAGATAAGATGACAAGATTTTGGTGAAGTTCAACTTAACACCAATTCGGCCCCCTATGTCAAGGTTATATCAACTAGTCACCAAGGCGACGGTGAGGATCAAGGAGACGATGCAGAGTTCCCGAGGCGATTAAAGTACTCATCAACCTGACGATTACTAAGGCGATCATGATTGATGGATATAGATATGAAACGAAGCAAGGAGTCTCAAAACCAATATTTGAAACCACACATCAAACTTTTATTTTTCTCTGCAAATTAGTTATGGAAGGATGAGTAAGAGTAAATTCAACCATAGTTATTACCAATATATTAATAGTGGGCCTGTATCCTGGATATCTTGGATCAAAGCTAGTGGTTTGTAAGCTTTTGGGTGAATTGATATAAATAAAACTTTTCCATTATCTAGGGAGTGGCAAGTGATTCGAGTTCATCCAAACTCTTAGCAACTTCCGTTTGGATTCCCCTGAACTCTTACCTGACTGCTCATCTTCTTCTTGTTGAAACTTGTGGTAAAGTCAAGGTTGAGTTTAAAAAGTTATAACAAATTGGCATCTTGATAAACTTAGGCCCTGTTTACTTTCATTTCTGTTTCCTGTTTTTGAGAAAACAGATGTTGAAAACAGGTGAAAACAACATTTTGTCGTTTCCGAAAACAGCAGGAAGTTGCCACTTTCTGTTTTCATAGTTGGAAACGAATAGAAAACAGAATGAAAAGTAAACAAGTTTTCTCGTTTCGGTTGCCAAATTTATGACATGAAAACAGAAAACAGGAAACGAAAATGAAAGTGAACAGGGCCTTAGGTTATATTGAGAGAAAAAAAGGTTGAGTTTATGCCATTTGTGGTAACCATTTTAGAGGTTTAACCATTATCATAGTAAAGCAGATCAAAAGTTAGAATTATAGCTACTGTTTAGTTTTCAGCTGGCTTTTACTCCACCACTCATTTTTATATTCTTAGGAATTAGGATGGAATTTTACCACTAATTTCTTTTACACCCATGGTTTGATTCCTATCCAATTAGATTTGTATACATTGCTGGTAAGAAAGAAAATATAACATGGTGCTATCTTGTGATTTGTAAGTGTTCTTGGCTTCTTGCACAGTTGCACGCAACATCCTCCTAAATAAGAAACACCAGCTGTTACAGTCGGCCCGTTTTGGTGCAATGGTGCAGATTCATACAACATACAGACCTGAGAATGTAAAACAAACTTGACAGGGAGAGATGTACAGTTCATCTGATCTTCTCAATCTTGAGCAAGATGCTGGTGGTTAAAGCATAAGAAAATGACGAAAAGAGTTAAACAGATCGAATTGACAGTTGCAGCAGTAACATATTGACTGTTCACATCATAGTTCGTACCAGTATGAGCTGGTAGCTATCCCAACAGCAACAAGAAACAGTATGAGCTGGTAAATATCTCAAACGGGTCAAATGATTTTAGCAGCAGACCAAGTTATTTAGCAGACTCCTTGATTGACATATCCCAACAGCAACAAGAAACGGCCTTGACCAGCCACCCCTTGATTGACCATGTCCAGGATACATTCCCAATATCTCGTTTCAGACATTGGCATCAAGTAAACCCAAACTTCCATAACATTTATTCCACTAAAACTTTAGCAGACTCACTGCAGACATGAATCAACTACATCAACTGTGTAGGAAACAAAGTTTCTACGGGTTTGATATTTGGGGATTAGGGATTGAGATTGGGGATTTGGGGAAGAACAGAATTAGGAATTAGGGATTGAGAAGAGGAAATTGGGGATCGAGGAGAAGAATGGCCGTCGGCCTAGGGATAGATGACGAAATTGAGAGAGATTAGGGTTTGAGATACTGTTCTGAATAATTGATCTTTCCTGATTGATAATGAAACCTAGGTTACATATTTATAGGAAAAGATAGGAAAACCTAATAATAAACCTAATTCTACTAAAAGACTACTAACCATATTTAATAAAACCTAATAATAGTGATAATATAGAAACTCGTTTTCCTTAGAAAACGTGTTTCTAACATCCCATCCCCCTTGAGACCAACCTTGCCCTCAAGGTTGATCGACTCAACCCACTTCTTCTTGACCTTCCGCTTTCTTCGTTTCCAGTTGTGCTCAATTTCATGAATGAACTCTTCTCGCGCAACTCCAACTATCCTCGAATCTCCTTCACCCACGTGACATATGTCACCTTCATCATAGCTGAACAATTCGCCCTCTTCGAAATTCACAAAATAAGAATTGGGAAATTGTTCCTCATTATGCTCCTCCGCCACCCTGAAATCTCCAAATAACAACTCCATCGAATCCACCACAAGCATGGTGGTGAAAACAAGTGGGTGTGGATTAAGCTTCCTTGGAGGTTCATATGCAAATCCATCAAGCACATATCTCTCTTTTTCCAAGTCCATCTTCCTCCAAAGACAAACCTTGTTGGGCTCAATATGCCTCCACAAACTAGGCCCACCTTGTCGAATTGGCCAGTCTAGGACTAGCCCAACGATTTCCTTTCCCTTTGCTTGCCCACGACTTTCCTCAACAAATTGTCTAACTGATCTCTGCCCAAGCTTCAAACTCGGCCCAATATGCTGATCCAGTTGCCCAGAAGAAATGTAAGCAATTATCCTTGTCCAGGCCAGCCCACAAGGAATTTCACAGGACCATAACCCTTCACTGAAACTACAACCAGCGGCCCAAACAACTTGGCCCAGCAACACTTCTCCCTCGTCCCGCTCCGCCTGATCAAGCCCATCGAAGGCCCTTTGTCTCTTGCGAGCGGGCCTCAGGTTTGTGCGACGCAGAGGGATACCCCCTCCTTTCACATCACTCGCCGGCATCTCCTCTGCCTCTTCCTTCGCCGGCGAGCAGCTCGTCGGATGGATGGAAGGCGGCTGCACTCCGCCAACCTTCGCCTTCTCTTTCTCAGGCGACGAACACGGAAACTCACCGCTGGCTCCCTCCTCCTCCTTCTTCTTCTTCTTCTTCTTCTTCTGCGATTTCCACGGCGGCGAATATCTCGCCAGATGGGTAAACTGCGGCCCCAATCCGGCGACCCTCGTCATCGCCTTTGACTCCGCATCCGCGTCGATCGACGCCACAGCTGGCGCCTTCGTCAATCGTACGATCCGAGCTGCCACACAGCTCGCCTTCTCTTTCTTCCCGTCCGATTCCGCAGCCGCGGCAGCCATCCGCTCACTTTGCGGCTCCGGCGAACTCGTCCAGCAGCCTGCCGCTGCCTTCTTCACCTTATCCGGCATCGATCCCACCTCCCAGCGAACAAGAGACAAATCCGAGTCGCGTGTCGTCCCCGACCGCGCCTCCCCGCGAGGCGAAACCGTCTCCAATCGCTCGAACGGAGTCGTCGCCATCACAATTGGAACCACCATCGAGATCATCTTCAATCGCTCCCCAAGACCCGTCGCACCGGTCCCCAGCTCCGCCCCGGGTCCTCGATCGTCGTTGACGCGGAGATCTGACATCTCCGAACAGGTTTCCAAGCTTCCCTTAACCGGAATCTCGGCCGCCGAGGCGCAAAGCGGTGGTGTAGCATCGTACGCGGTGACATTCTCGTCCCGAAAGATCACACACCATCTCGCCTCTTTCTGCTCCAGCTCTGAGTCGGCTTCTCTGTCTCTCTCGAACCCAGCGAGGCCGTCGGGTTCAGGTTCGCGAGTATCCTCGCCAGCAGCTATGGGATTGAAGCTTGTTCCTCCTGGGTCAAAAGATACTTCTGGAGATGAGCGCTTGTCAATGGAATCTGTTCCCTTCCTTTCCGCAGGCGATGGCGTTCTAGGCGGCTTGGGAAGTTCAACAAGGCCGCCTAAAACCGGGCCAAGCGATGGTGGTTTTGATGCAGGGAAGACAACTGCTGTTGTTCGGGCCAACGACGTTGCTGTCGTCGCCTCCCCCACTGCTTCAACAGCCGCAGCTTCCTCCTCGGTCGTCGGCTCTTGCTCGTCGTCCGCCGTCACAGGTCGGACCGGTAGCTGCTGCTCCTCTGTCATGTCTCCGTCCATAGCCTCCTCCTCCATCACCGGTTCTGTGTCGCTCCCTTCGACGGTGACTTCCACCGCTTCGTCGGTCTCGGCGGACATTGGTGGTCGCTCGTCGTCGGCGATTCGGGTCACCGTCTCTGCTTGCACGATCGGCGACTCTTCGGAGCTCCAACGGCGTCCGATGCGGCGAGCACGGTCACGCAGCTCTGTCCACGACAGGTTCGAGAGCTTTGAAGAGCTCATCGTCGAACCAGTTGTAGAAATCGTCCCCGGTTGAGAGTTGTGGTGAACTCAATTCTCGAAACCGGGCTCTGATACCAGATGTAGGAAACAAAGTTTCTACGGGTTTGATATTTGGGGATTAGGGATTGAGATTGGGGATTTGGGGAAGAACAGAATTAGGAATTAGGGATTGAGAAGAGGAAATTGGGGATCGAGGAGAAGAATGGCCGTCGGCCTAGGGATAGATGACGAAATTGAGAGAGATTAGGGTTTGAGATACTGTTCTGAATAATTGATCTTTCCTGATTGATAATGAAACCTAGGTTACATATTTATAGGAAAAGATAGGAAAACCTAATAATAAACCTAATTCTACTAAAAGACTACTAACCATATTTAATAAAACCTAATAATAGTGATAATATAGAAACTCGTTTTCCTTAGAAAACGTGTTTCTAACAAACTGGGAAAATCCAGAATAATGGGGATCTCTTCTACCTTTTCTGCAACACTTCCAAGCTTCCTTCTATTTACTTCCTCTCCAAGGTTATCTATCTGCCGTCTCCAGGGAATCTCAAACTGAGGTTCCTCCAGAATAAGAGAGCTAACATCTCCTCAATTGCAACCTTGTCCCAATGTTGCAAAGCAACAACATCCCAAGCTGTCTCTTTTAGTGAAATCTTGGCATAATCCGACATTAAGATTATGCCAACTCTGACCAGCATAAAGAGGGTGGCAGATATGTTCCTATGGAATCCATCTCCATTTCTCTCCAGTGCTCTCCATAAATCTAACCAATAACATGAGTAGAGTAAGACTTAATCAATGACATGAATGTGACAGTCCAAGTGAGATATAAAAGGGACAAATCTGGGTTTACCTAAGACATAGAGGTCCGGGAGTGACTTCAAAGTATGCGTTGAGAGCTGGTTTCAAAAGAAAATCATCCCCGTGAACCGGGTTCTTTGTCGGATCAAGGCAATGTTGTTAGTGATGCACAGGTAGCTGTGGAGAAAGAAAGGAAAGGAGTTATATTGTAGTTCCAACAGTGTAAGCCATATGGGATTGGCTAAAGAACAGAGAATAGTAGCATAAGGGTCAAATAATTAAAATGGTCATAGAACCACAGAAATTAGCAATCTGAATCCCATAAATGACCAATACTAAAGCCAAAGAGAAACTTGATACAACAGCAAATTGAGTCTTAATCTTTAACACAACATTTTATAATTCTTTCTTGCAAAGTCATGAGAGCAAGATCAATTAAGTATGACCATAATCTGTTCACAAAGAAAAACCAGTTCATAACAATAGGCAGGGCACCAATAGGTGGGTTTGAAAAATGCAAGAATGATTTGTAACCTTCAAAAGTACTCTCAAGATATATGCGATGCTCTTAATACACAAATTCACTTAATTTCATGGACAATACGTTTTGAGAAAATAGAAGGAACTATGAGTTAGGAAACAAACTGAATCATGAAAGGGCAAGTACATGTTACATCAACCATGACTCTTTAATGCTCATTGTGGTAGAGAAGGATTTACTTCACAAGTCATATACGAAGCCAACAATGGCATGAAAAGAAAGGTTGACATTTGCATTTGCTCATATAGATCATGAAACCGTATGCCTCTACCTTAAACATCATATACCACTTAATTATATGGACGTGGACTCCTTCAATCACATTCCAGTACCATTAACTCTAATTGTAAGAAGAATAATCTATGAGAGCAAGAGAGACCGAAAACACACATGAGCTATCAAATGAATGACAAATAGAAAAATAGAGACCCACTCACAATCATTTTTTTGAGAGGGAAAAACACCCACTTAAATGATAGAGAAGTCTGGATGGGTGACAATTGAGAACTATGGAGCTGCTTTCATATTTGCCGGAGGTGTTGGAGTCAAAGCTCCAGAAGAGAGATCGAAGAGAACCCAAACTGTAGGTCCCCATTACGCGTAACCGCTTTCAGTTAGTCTCCTCATGTAGCTAATCATAGAAAGGTGCGAAATGGCCTCCTTGTACTGAAACTCCATGTAGTTCAACAGAATCTCCTCCATTTTTTAACAGAGTGTAGTATCCCCCCTCACTCTGATCACCATGGTAGCAGCTCTAAGTTCCTCTCAGCATTTTCCTGCAAATGTAGGGAATGGAGCCCACAGTTAGCATTGGACCATATTTTAGGAAATCGCTCATAATGTTGGGAAAGGAGTACATACAGCACCAAAGACCAATGCTCGATTATCAGACCTGTTCGGTTGTATGTCTCTATTGCTTATTTGGGTTGTTCATGAACAACTGAAATGACGGCCTTCAGCCTAAGAAGCTCCTACTGACCCATCTCTGCTTCCCAATTTAGTCATCAAAATCTACATTTGCTTGTTTATCTTCTTCCAAAGCCTAGCTGCAAAGAACAAAATGAATCACATAAATCGGGTTCTATTTAACAACAGAAACAAAAAAACACAGACAAAGAGTGGTAATAGTAAGCAGTATCCTGTTGGGAAGAGCACCAAAGCTTGCTGTATTTGTCAAATAAGCCATTTTTTAAGACGGTAAGCTTTCCGATTCGAGCAGAAGGGATAGCATAGCATACACACCAGAGCAACATCAACAACAATGGCCGACCAGGCGCAGCCGCCAAGCGAGAAAAAGTAGGAAACCCAAACAGACCAAATCGAAAACTGAAGACCAAAAAATTGAGAAAGTGAAGATTAGAAATAAGACCTACCACGCGCAGCCGTCGTCGCTCCGTGCTCATCGGCATCGTCATCCCCACCCACGTTTTACTCTTCGTTTTGAGATTCGCTTTCGCCGTATTCATCAGCCACCACTCTGTGAACTGCTCCTTTAGTTTTTGCGGCTCCATTGGTTCTTTTTGCGGTTCCACAAAAACCCCCCTCCAATTAGTCGCTCAACCAACTTCCCTCATCTCTCTATTTTTCTGGGTATTGCTCGAGCTCGACCTTCCAACCCGTGTAGATTGAATCTAGAAGGGTTTATTGTAGGCGACTAGGAGAAGGGTTTCCGAGAAGGATTTATGGGAATAAGAGACGAGTATTCATTTTTTGTTGTTCGCTGATGGAGACGAGGAAAGCAGAGAGGAGGAGAGGGAAGAGAAGGAACCAAAGTATTGATTCGGAAAGAGATTCAGAGAGCTCGGAACCGGACCTCCCAAGGTACCTGGGTGGTTCGGACAATGGTGAAGAAGAGTACTGAAGAACAGGGGAACAAGAGGCACAACAGGAGTCTCAATGAGTTTTTTTTATTATGACGTGTTACTCTTTGCTTATTTGCCCCTAACGTGTCCGCTTATTTGGCGCCTAATCAGCAAACCGTCAAATAAGTTGACGGTGTTAAAATATCTGACGGAAATGATTATATTTGTCTACAACAACTTTAAAAGCTGGCGGCTATAATTGAAATTTCTTCAAATTTGACTATTATTGACACAAACGCGAAAGTTTTGGCTATACAAGTGTATTTTGCCTTTTATTATTTGAATATATATCATAATACATAATACAATCACAATGTATAAAGTTACAAAAAAGTACACCTATTACATTACAATACTCAGTGGTACTATCCACTTAATTTATTCCCGCTAATACAGTGTCTGTGGACTCAAACAGTCCGACGACAGAAAGGGCACGTCCGCTGCCCCTGAAACCACACTCCCACGCAGACGACGTGGAAGTGGTGGCCGCAACCGGGCAGCTCCCAGAAGCGGTCCCCCGCAGTGTACTGCTCGAGACAGATCCCGCAGTCGGTGATCTGCTCGTCGCAGTCAGGGGAAAACTCCCTGACGGGGAGTGCCGCGAGCCTGTCAGGGGAGACAGGCTGCACAGCAGCAGGAAGCGGCTCCATCTCCAGCTCCAGATGAGCTGGAGGGAGCTGCTGGGTGGGAGCACCTGAGAAGCAGGTGCTCCTCACCCGAACGAAACACCTGTAAGCTCCGTAGAGAACGCCGAGTACGGTGATTAGGACGCCAGCAATCACGGCGAACTGGTCGCCCCTCGAACCCTCGACTCCTTGTTCGACGAAGAATCGTGACATTTTTTTTTAGTTAGTAGCTTGTGTATCGGTAGGTTCTGAAACTGGGCAGCCTACATATACCAGGTTACCTATCTTTCTAATATCCTTTGCTAGGTTTGGATGACAGCATACCATCCCATGAAGGCCAACACTAAGCTTGTTTGAATGGACAGGTTTTGTATCTCTACCTGAAACATTACAGTCACAAAGTAAAATGCAATTTCAAATGTCACAGTCGTATTCTCGCCACAAATTACTCATATAATGGATAATTAGCTTAGCGGGTCAAAGTCAAAACCATTTTCCCTTTATAGAGTTTCAACTTTTGATATCGTACGTATGGTTTGTTCATATAATAATGATCGTGTATTTATTATTATTTTGTCATGCATAATGTCAACACCCCAATCCCCATTTCCTCTGAAATAAGATATACTCGATTTGGGAAGATCCAAGGTTATTTTGGATTAACAATTGTGAATCACAAACATCTCTAGTAACTAGTACGGTTTAATATGGTTGGTACAATGATCCATACATATAACAAACATCTTTCAAATGACTTCTACCACAATTATTCATTCCACATAACCCATGTAGGAATATAACGTTACATAACAAGTATAACACACGTTATATTATTATATAACGTAGATGCTTCTAATACTTTGTTTTTAATATATTATTAAACATGTTATATGTGCACATTGCACAAGGTTGAAAATTGATCATACTATCAATCATCCAAGTAACCAATAGTTTTTCCCCCTTCTTCTCCAGATTACTTTATAATGATATACCTTACTTTATAATGATATACCTAGCTTTATAAATCAACTAAACGAGTTTCTCTAATCATATAAGTCATTACCAAGAATCAAATAACAAATCTTGAGTTTTGTTATATAACTTATACATTGATTAGGTTACATGACTTTGTCGGAACACAATGATTATTCTCAAAAGTGGTTGTTGGGGGTGTTCGGATGAATGGGCCTCGGTGCGTAGGAGAAGCCCAATAAGAGGGATGGAGCCTAAGCATCCCAAGAAGGCGCGACTTATTAGAGGCCCAGAGGTGTGTTTGGGAAAAACGGTGTAGGCTATGGCCGACGCCTATCGACTTGAGCCAAGAAAGCAAGCTAACC